GCAATTCGTTAACCTCATCCACGAATCTAGGAAGTATCTTTCCCTGTGAGCCAAGCCAACTACCGCTGCCTTCTACCGCTTCACAACCACATTCAAAATGTGGTTCCACAAATTCGGAATGCATATGCAAGACCGTAGTTCAACAATCCATCCATCTATGTAGGTCTGATTATAAATGGTCACTTCAACTTGGGGTCTTCCCCTTTGTCAACAGAAACGCAGCAATAAGTTCATGCCGTGATGTCAGGATTGTTGAGCTCGTCTAGTGCGAAGAAATGGGCAAAGAAGGGTATTACTTCATAGTCGTGAGATCGTTTTTAGGTTACCTCCGCTCAGGATATTGACCATCTTGGTACACGGAGCACAACGCATTCAAGCTGAGTATGAGAACCTTGGTGAGGAGCGCACAACGCATTTAAAATCGCAAAAAGCATTTTCCTTAATTCTAAACATTAAACCTACATTGTTCGGACTGCCAGAGGAGGCACATATTATTAGAAAAATGGCCCCCACCTCCCGTCCAAATTATTTTTGCATCATTTCTTCTTCACTGCTGCACCATTAATTTCTTTTTCAAATGGCGACAAAATTATCGGGCCCTCTGAATTAAAGCGTAATGTATTCCTGAAATACCAAATAGAACGCACCTTGCTGAAGGACTTGCGGGTGGTTCCGTATTGATTAGCTTCTGAAGATCATGTGCCTTTCTTTCTCGTTCTTTCTTTCGTGCTTCAATTTTCTTCAACTCGTTGATAAGGAATTCTTCTTCCTTCATCTGCAAAGAAAACGTAGATAAAGGACAGATTTGCGATCAATCAGCATCAAGTTCACCATAGTTTCAACTAGAGAGAAAAGCAAGATGAAGGTAACGATCGATCCTCTCGCCGAATAACCTTCAGAGATCTTGAGGAAACCCAACCAGTTAATCTGACTTCACTTTCATGGCAGTGTTTGGATGCACACAACCGTATACCACAGTCCTTAAGCGCACACACTGGAACAAATAATTCCACGAACCTCCATCTTCGTACGATTATACAGCTTTATCATCTGCTCCTTTCTTCTACGTTCATGATCAGCGTCGTAGCAAATTGGTTCACAAGCAGGATCCTGAACGAGGATATAAAGCACCTGGAAGAAATGCCTGTCTACATGCTAACGCCGCCAACAGTTATGGGAAATGGAGCTTCGCAAAGAAGAGGAGTTCACTTATGTATTCACAATATTTCCAGCAGCCTTGAGTAAATATTGCAAATTTGGTTCAAACCCTATAAGACTTGGGCTATCATGCGAAACAAGATAATAATTATTGTGATGAACACTACCAGTTTCATCTGAACAACTGCTCCTCCAAAATTCAATTTTGCAATCGTCTAGGACTTAAAATTGTAAAGACTTCCCATCTTAATGCACTAGTATGGTTGAACGAATGAAAGCAGTGGCCATGATTCAAAATGCTACCTTCATAATCGCTATCTCATTCACTATAGCGTAAAAACGCTCTTTTAGGTCCTCCATCGATCTCAGCCCGTACTTTTCTCTGTCGTAGCGATCGTGCACAATGGGCCATCTGAAACGACCTGTTTATCAGAACGGTCTTTAATGTCAGAACGCCTTCAAATACCGTATGTCAAAGCGTCGGCAAACGTCAAACAGGTGTCTTGTCTCTTCAAGAGTCCAATTTTCCACTTTAAAATACTTCTCGTATTCTTCATCCGTGAAATCGGGAATATTGATAACCTTCAAGAAAATTAGTACAATGTATGCAATATTCTTTTCCCAAAACTGTCAATTCGAACAAATTCATTTTACGCAATATAAACACTTGAGATGAGACAAAGCGACCAGTAAGTAATACCTTGTTGAACTTGGCGAATGGGTACGGCTCTGGAGTCTCAAGTTTGTCAACTCGTTGCCAATGGTAGAGCTGCAGAGAATCGTTGCGAGCTTCATTAGTGAACGGAACCCACTTGTACTTCCGAACAGGGCGCCCTCCCAGCTGAAATAGTTTTTGATCCGCGCAATACATGTGACGTGTTCAAGCATACAAAAAATGCGTTTTTAACTACTAAAAAACCGTTTCTTATTAGAATACTAAAGTTACAGATACCAAAACAAAGAGGAAGAGTAAAGCAATACGCGTGATACAAACTCAATTCACTACCATGAACCGCACGTGCACCGTAAGTAGTACAGACCCACTCTCACCATTTGATTGAGCGCTCTCAACTTTGTGATCGCCCTATTCAATTGAGTTGATAAATAGCGTTCAGCCTGATTTGCTGATTCTCAGCAAAGTAGCTAATAGATGAAAGCAGCTTATCCGTACGACTTCTAACAAGTGCGACTCCTAACAGCCTATTCCGTACACCCGCCTAATCAGACGATGGATATGAATTGTTAGCCTTTACGACTAGTACAGAGGTTCAATTCGGAAGTGTGCGTAGGAAGATAGTGGATCATGGGGCAGTTGTTTTGTACGAATACTCGCGTATGTTGCTGTTGCGGTGTGATCCACTGCTACGACCGAAGAGTGTACATTAACTGCTTGGAGCTCCTACAGGGAACAGAGGTAGCGTTCAAAGCAACCACTGCAGATGAGGTGGTGTCGAGCAATCACTTCGAGCCCGCAGGTACCACACTGTGCCGCTGTCGCAGCTCGAAGTGCGTGAAAATGACACGAGGGCCTTACAAAGTGACCAATGACGGCCAACGTGAGCTAATGGACGAGATACCTCGCGCACACCTAATGCACAAGCAACATTCATTGCTTCGGAACGGCTTACTCAAATACGCGCGGGTTAGTTGAGCCACTGAGCAACTATATTCAGACAACTCTTCCGACACGCCCTCTCATTTTAAGGAAGAGAGAAAGATAGCTCCTATATAGGGGCTTCATCGACGGTTTGCTTCGCTTCTTTGTCAGTTTTAGTCAACTCGGCATCCACAATTCCATCACTGAGCGATGTTAACTGAACATATGGACGAGATACCTCGCAGCTCGTAGCATGTAACGTAGGATCACGATGTAGCGGATAGGATAGCTGACATTAGATAGCCGATAGGTAAGATGAAAGACGCAATGCGTTGATGTGATCGTGTTTAAAAAAACACGTTCAGACACGTCTTTTTCGGCATCAACCGCTGTGACCTCACCAATTTGATGTGGGGTTGTTTATTTAATGTTTGGCTTTGTATATGAGATTGAATAGCAAATCAGAAATGAAATACTGACCTGAGCATTTAGTTGAGCGAAACCTTTCCTGATTTCAGTGGGAACAATAGTACCGGCTTCTTTAACATCCGAACCTCCAATGAGACTATATAGTTCTCGATGCATTTTATCAGGACGCTTGAAATTCGATTCGGAGCGACGAACAGATGACTGAAATCCACATAGACAACTACAATTTAGTATACCGAATCTGTGACAGCATAATCCAGTCCTTTTAGAAGCTTGCGAGCACAAGACAATATCTATTTTGCACCCGTATTTGGAACATTTTCCACAATCATCCCATCCTTTGAGCATTTCAATGAAAATTCTCCTTTATTGCTTCTTGCACAGCACAGCCAATTGCCTTTGAGTACACTCATTTTTTCCTCCTATTCGTCGTCACTAGCGCTCTATCAATTTCACATTGTTCCATTAAGCCAGTTAACAACATCATGCACAAAAAAGATATAAAAGTTCACTTTCATAGAGATCGGAATGCCCAGCATTGATCTACTGCTACCCTCTCCCAGATTCAGTCCTTCAAATTTATTTTTTCAGGTAGACCCCCGGAAAAGGTGTGTATGTAAGAAAAAAATGTGTGAAACTTAACATGATCGTAGAAACAATTGAATTCGAATAGTATGCCAAATGGTCCCCATGCTTAGAACTGTTCAACCAACTAGTCTATTGTAGTGCGTCTATTGTAGTGCGCCAAAACTTCCCAAAACTAAAAAATAGCAGGTTCGGAAAGTACCTTTCTAGAAGCGTTTGTAAGCGAAGCGGGTTTGACATCATCCTTTTCTTCTTTGTTTGCCTCTCCAACGAGGATAGATTTCACGTCTCCAAACATCTGGAAAGTTAAGAAATTTAAAAAAAAAGGAGTTCTGAGGTTATCTCGAATCAATGCATCCACTAGAGTGTAAGGGGGTGAAGGGTGAGAACGTGCGGAAGCGAGGAATGGAAGAGGATCACGGGAGATAGGAATGATGTGAATGAGAGGTATATAAGAGTGTTGATGGTCTAATAAATCATTCCACTCCTATTGTGTTCGTCTTGGCGCTGTAACTTAGAGGAAAGCTCACAAAAATGAAATATGAAAAATATGAAAAAAAATTGTAATAAGAACTGAAACTCATCATCTTCTAGACCTGTGACGTTGCTTCACACCTCATGGTGTGGCCGTGGCGGGTGCGAGCGAAAGCAGGCCCGCCATTATACAACCACAGGCGGGGAATTGAAGTGAGACAGCATGATGCTCTCGTCGCGTTGTGCGATCGACGTTCTGTTGTCAAACCCAAGTGCGACGGATCTCTTGGCTGGCTCTTATCGTAACTTCCGAAGTCCGCGAAACTATGACATGGCCATAACTATGCGACTCACCTGTCCCTTGACGGGAAACAAGCCTCCTGGGTAACGTGAGCTGTTTTTATATTAGGTTGTCTCAGAAGTTCGTGCGTATTTTGAACTTATTTTTGAGCCTGCACTATTCCAAGCACGTGTGCAACCTATCATCATTATATGTACCACCACTATCAGTGACTTGTTACCAACATCCAACCAAAGATTGGCAACTTAACTCTCAAAGGGCTGGCAGTTATGAGCTGAAAAAGGCAGTGAGGTCGATTTTGAGGTGCTAATGGGAATCGTATTTTTTGTCGTCAAGAAGGCGGCTGAGCAGAAAGGGCAGATGTCTTTCGAAAGAGAATGACTACCGCTGCACGATGAATGTGGTAGGCCTTTTCAGCTGGGCTTCGATATTCAGAATCGCTTCATTATCGAAATGTGTGGCCTCGGGTGTTGTGGAGCGTACACACTTTTTCGAGTTTTAACGACATTTGTTGGGGTTTCACCGTGAGTCTCTGCCGTTGATCTCCCTACACTTGAGTGAATTCATATCTATAATGATTGACATGTCTCTAGTGGCTTACTCGATAACGCTCCAAAAGAGGTGGAGCACGACCTTGTGGTGAATTTCTTCACTTTTCACCCTCTTCTGTCCGATCTAGTCCCTGGAGATTCTAGGTGTGGTTGTCATGGAACCTGAGCTTCTCAACTGCAGTAGTAGCTTTGTTCAACCAGGGCGTACGGATGGAGCTGGACACAAATTGTAGACGGGACTCGTGCCGCACTCCTGTCATCAGTGATCAACTCATGAGGGAATCTTTGGTGAGGCTTCAACCATTCTACGAAGGAGCGAGAACCTCTACGCATTGTGCATCTGGAACACCAGGATGTGGTTGCCACAAAGCAGGTAGCCCCGTGTGGAGTGACTCCCACGAGAGAGCACAGATTCTCCAAATCCGACACTGATGGCCTCTCTGAACGTGGATTTTTCTACCGGCTGTAGTCTCCTGGGCAGAGAAGATCCAGCTATTCTGATACCTCACTGTTGGTGAGGGCGAGGAGATGTATCGCGATGCAGATGCCGCTTCAGGCTTCAATCGGTTTGTGGCTCAGTAGAGCTGCTTAAGTCAGAGCGCGAAAAACATAGCTCTTTTCTCTTTCCACTTTGAACTCGAAGAAGGCGACGATGGTGGGCAGGATTCGGGTATAAGCTACTGCACAGTGTGCCCTATCCACAGCCTACGTGAACACATTTTGAATTTGTTGAAGGAGCTTGTGGCATGAGATCCAATAAATACGCACGAACTTTCGAGACAACCTAATATTTATTATTATAAAATGGACACACAGAACGTGATGTCAGAATACTTCACAATTCCTGTCACGGCTCTCTGCTTAACCAAGTGGGACATGTTAAGAACTGACATCGCGAGTCTTGACATGTCTTAATCTGTCAAGTGGACTGCTTCAACTGTATGACAGGCTAGTAAATGTTCACTGGCAGTGTGCTCGGAGGGGGCCAGTTGCCGCCGCGCGCGCTCAGCGATGTAGTGTAACTCGAACGTTTCAGCTTCTCACGGAACATTCCAGCTTCTTACGCATGCTAAGTGACTGCCCTCACCCCCGACCCCCCTGAATTGGCCTACATTCCCCCTGGCTCACGAATTACCTGTTGCCGCTGTTCTGTTTGGCCGAACGTACAGCCGCGCGGCGCGGCTTGGCCCTCCCCCTCTGAGCACGGTTGCGCCCCTTTGTTTATAGAATCGCCTTTCCGGATGATCTGACATGGCTTTCCCAACATGAATGTGGTGGATGTGTCACTAGAGACTAGTATACTCGATATCGGTGAGTTGGGGTGGGCGTGTCACCGGAAGTGACGTGCACTTGATAGAAACTATGTGGATAAGCTGCTTCCAACATACATCGCTGGCTATCAGCAAAGCATGCTGGCAACAGCTTATCCACGCACTTCTATCAAGTGCACGTCACTTCCGGTGACACACCCACCCCAACTTTCGGATATCGACTGTACTAAGTTTTACGCACGTAAGATTTATGTGAGAAACAAACTCGGCATTCTACAGTCTATGGAGAGTCCGAAGGAAGGTTGCAGCGGCGCCCAAAGGAACTATTCTGTTTGATGGTGATGGTTGAGTGGCGACTGTTCGCGGAGGATCGCGATTTCGTACATCAGCGGTCCTTTTGGGCGAATAGAGACAATCCATAGAATAGTGCAGCAGAAGTGTGAGATGTCAGTGCAAAAAGCCACAAGGTCAAAAAGGAATTTCTGGTGACGGCACTAGATGGTAAGTGACCAAGTGAGGTTCGCCGCGCCAGCATTTGTGACAGATGTCCGGCGGGAGGTTGAGCGTAGTACTTCTTCCGGTTTTTTGGACTGTTTACCAAAACAAGTGCAATTTTGTGCTCCTTTCGTTCTTATTGTGGACGATCGGTCTCAAGCCCATGATTTACGGGTGAGATAGGATCACGATTTTTTCAAGGACTGATTCCTTTATGGCAAATTGTGTCAGTAGATGTGCCCACCCGTCGGAACAGACCTAACTTGTGGTTGGAGGTGGACGAGTATTTCTCGATGAAATGAAAGGATTTTTTCTACTTAGGCTGATGTCAGACTTTGCGAATAGCTAGCGTCTGTGGTCGCGTCGCGGCCAGTTAATCACTCAATTGGCTGGTACCGCAACGCGACCGTGGACGCTAGCGAATCGCGCGATTCGCAAAGTCTGACATCGGCCTTAGTCTTCAAAGTTTATAGATAGCGTCGACTCGGCGCCAAGTACGCGTTGGGCGCCAGATCGCGTGTTGACGCTCTTCGCACTGTTCGTCCGGACGGCGCAGACTATGAAAGCAGCCTTATTCAGCTAGACGCCAGTTCTGCTTTGGTGATTCTGAATCATATCTATAGGAATGGGGCAGGCCGTCAACCTCGGAATGCACAGTGACTTGAGTTACAGCTCGAACACAATGCTCTGAAGATACACCCAGTAACGATACGGCAGTGACCAAAGAGTGCCAACTCACTCCAAGTAGCAGCGATCTAGAACATTCTGACCACGTTGCTGTGTCAATTTTTGCATCTGGAAGATCCAAAACAAGTTTGATCGCAAACATTCAGGAAGGAAACAGTTTCTGCCATTGAAGGTCAACGTGCGTTGGCATTAATACACAACGGGAAGAAGTCAGGCAAAATGAGCTGAATGGGAAAAGAAGGGGGAAATGAATCAACTTCCTCTACAACACAATAAAATCGAAGGGGCCCATGGTACCAAAGGATGTTCAACAAGCATCCGATCCGCTCCATATCTCCGGAATTAAGACATATACAGGGTGGCTACTAAATATTGGCGCATGGATTGTTGACCATATTTTTAAAACGAGAAGCTTTTACATCTTCAGAGGTTTGTCTTATATACCTTATAACATGGCAGTACATTGCTGAAGAAAGTGCTCGAGATGGCCTCCTTTGGTAGCGATACAGGCTTGAAGTCTCTTTTCAACTGACATCACTGTGGGCCGCAAGTAGCTGACGTCAAGCTCCTTCCACGCCTCCTCCAAGGAAGCCTTCAGGGAGTCCAAACTTCGACGTTGCTCAGAAGGCATCTTCTGCTTTAAGAAACCCACACCGCCAAATCAATTGGTTCAAATCGGGCGACTTAGATGGTCCAAACATTTTGTGCTCGGTAACTTGGAAAATGACGGTCACAGTTCTCCAACATTGATTTTGCGGCATGTGGAGGCGCCCTGTCTTGCTGAAGAATGCAATGACGTTCGCTGAAGGTCAAAAGAGTCCTTGGAAGAAGGGCATTACGTGAAAATTGTTTCCGGGTAGATCTGGGCGCTGGCTTTGATGTATTCATCCACAAAGACAAGCGGTGTCATGGTTTCAGAAGTAATTCCTGCCCAAACCATGACAAATTTGAAAAACGGTTCCTTGTGTGTACACAAGGTCGAGCAGAATGTCTGCTAGCCAGATCCAACAACTGCCTGTCGTTTTGCAAATCGTGCGCCACTTCTGGTCTGAAGATCTACTCACATCACGCCGACGTCGGTTACTTGCGGCCCACGGTGATGTCAGTTGAAAAGAGACTTCAAGCCTGTATCGCTACCAAAGGAGGCCATCTCGAGCACTTTCTTTGGTAATAAATTTCCATGTTTTATTGTATATGAAAATAAACTTCTGAAGATATGATAGCTTCTCTTTTTGGAAATATGATAAATAAACCATGCGCCAATATTTAGTAGCCACCCTGTATGATAGGATGCACAGCTCCCGATGCATTTGTATTGTACACAGTCGATATCCGACAGTTGGGGTAGGTGTGGCACCGGAAGTGACGTGCACTTGATAGAAGTTGCGTGGATAAGGTGCTGCTAGCACGCTCTGCTGATATCCAGCGATGTATTTTCGATAAAGCTTATCCACGTAGCTTCTTATCAAGGTGTATGTCACTTTGGTGCACGCTACCCAACTGGCGGATAGTGGCCGAT